AATAATAATAATAATAATAAGAAGAAGAAGAAGAAGAAGAAAGAAATGATAATTTCATCCTTCCCACATTGTTGTTTCCAGAACACCTGTCTTGGTCACTCATTCTATTTAGCCTATGTTTTTATTATGATTATGGGAATGAGTGAAAATAAAAGAATCCATATTTCTTTCGGAAGTCATTTGCTCAAGCTTATCCCACCCCAACACGTAGGAGACAATTAGTTTGAACCCAAAACTGTCACCGGAGATATAATGAGGAGCCGCAAGATGTTCACGCCGCGTTACAGCGGTGCGCGTTATGCGCATCCACCGTGAAGGATTTATTCGGCTACGGCTATATAAATAAGCCTATACTACTGAAGCTGAAGCTCTCTGATATAAAGCACTTCTCATCTATATGACGGGGTGGGATTTCATGTCATTATATAATGAACAGATTGGGGGGGGGGGGGCGGGGCAGGTGCGCGGAGCTATCCATGGTGCTTCGTCCTCAGAGAACACACTAAAGCAGTAAAAAAGACAAAAACATAAACTTACATTCGCAGACACACATTCAGCTCATTAAATCGGGAAATGCAACGCAGCTTTTAAAATTATGAGCACATAGAAACGCAAATTATTATTATTGTTAAAAACAAACGTGGAACATTACAAAACTCCGTTAAAAATGACTCAACAAAGAAATGAGAAGGAAAAAGCTCTAACCGATTTAGGTATCTGTTGAGATAATATCCATGACCTCGGCTAAAAACATCTGAGCTTATGGGAACATATAGGCCAGTCAAGGTTACATGTCCTTAAGCCTGCTCTTTGCCATTGGAGTTGTTTTGCTCATACTTTTAGTTTGCACAAACACACCGCATAGCCAATTGGGTCACTAACCTTCATCCTATAAGAAAGTGCCGTTTTACTCTGAGCTGCTGGAAAGAGCTGCTTATATTCACCAAGGGCAAAAGTTGCGACTTTCTTTGAAACCTGTGATTTTCTGTCACTTTGTGCATATGCTTTGGGTGGCTAAATCCCAATTAGGGTCGGGTGACACGCTGCTCTATTCATGCCGAGCCCTTCCTGCATACATTTGCCTAGGAATGAACTTCTCAAATAGATCTCCTGCTAAATGCGTTGGACAGCAGAGAGAATCGGCCTGAGTGACACCTTCTTTCTGAGGCGCTCGAGTGAGAAAAGGTATGAATTTATAAGGTACACCGAAACATATCAATTCACACAACTTCACACGCTTTTATCCGCGTCTCCTCATGCGAGACAAAGTGAGTTTAAGTCAGGGAAATGTGGCCTGAAAAAGCTCGGCGCAAAACTTTGTAGAGACTTTGAATGCCGAAACGGTGCAGCCCACTTGTGGGGGGAAAGGAGAGGGGGCATTTTGAATGAAATCACGCATGAACTGCGCTGAATCAGGTGCCGTTTATTCGGCTCCTTTCTAATGCGATTTTGAATATTAGTCTGGGGTAAAATCCCAATCATGTCATCTGGTGGGAGTCCCATACAAGCATAATTACTATTCAAACGCGTCGCTAATGTCCCACCCGCATCAAGGCCGCTGG